AGGAGGAGGCACACCTTTGAGCACAACTCAATGTGGAATGCCTCTGTAATGTGTTTCAGAATCAAGTGTTAGTGCTAAATGAGATCAATTCCCATAGAGTTGCCTCTTGATCATAAGCAAGAAAATCCTCACACTGGAGAGAAATCTGATAAATCTGAAGTGTAACTGAGGTGGGAAATCACAAACTAATACTGAGGATCCTTTTAATGAATACCCCAAGCTTTGGGGCCACCTTTGGGAGATAGGGATGATAGAAAAGCCTTTCCCGAGCAAGCAGCTACCGTCCCTCAAGAGATGGAGAAAGCAGGAGAAAAACTGTGTGACTGTGTGGACCCTGGAGACAACATCAGTGCCAAGTCAGGCCTGAAGTCCCCCAGGAAACACAGACAAGGACAGATCACCCTGAAGTTAACAAGTGTGAGGTCAGCTATTTTTAAGCACTGAAAAGTTAACATTAGGGAGAACACCCACGAAGCCAATGAAAGCAAGATGGCTGTCAGAAAAGCACCTCAGCTCACTCGAGCTGCTAGGACTCAGGCAGGAGAGGACATCTTTGAATGTATTTGTTGCAAGATATCTTTTTGCTGGGACTTGGACCTCACTGATCATCAGAAGACATGCATATGAGAGGAACCAAGTCAAAGTAACCGATGTGGGAAAACCTGCCAGAAATCATAACTCACATATGTGCAGATAACTCACCCAAGAGAAACCTCATGAATATAAGGCAATTGGCAAAGCTTGTCACAATCTCCCTTCACAGACAAGCAGAGAACAGACAGGAGAGAAGCCCAATAGTTGCGACAAGTGCGCAGAACCCTGAGAGTCCATCTGAGGACTGACACTGGGGAGAAGCCCTAAGAATGTCAGGAGCATGGCAAGGTCCTGTGTGAAGTCAGATCTCACTGAGCACTACATACATGTATGATGAGTGTGGGAAAACCTTCCAGGAATCAGTTTGCTAAATGTAAGGGAAGGAAACTCTGTAAGTGTGCTGAGTGTGGAAAATCTTTCTACTGTAAATTAGACCTAAGCCAAGTGTGGTGGTACGGCTATAATCCCAGTACTCAGGCAGGCTGAGGCAGGAGGACTGTAAATTCAAGTCAAGCCTGGGCAACTTAGTGATTTACTGAAACCCTCTCTCAAAATAACACCAATGGGCTAGGGATTTACCTTAGTGTTAAGGGCCTGGGTTCAACCCCCAGTTGTACACACACAAAAAAGCCCTAAATGTACACAGGGGAAAAATACAACAGGAGAGAAACCCTGTAAATGTTACCAAGTGTGAGAAATTGTGCTTGAATCAGCCCTGATTACACATCAGGTAGCTCACACAGGGAGAAACCTTATGGCTGTCATGAATATGGAAGACTGTATGAAGTCAAATCTCAAAAAACACCAGAAAACTCACACTGGGAAAAAAAAACCCCTATGAATGTAATAAGCATGGCAGATCCTTCTCGAATTTGATCCTTGTCATCCATCATTAAACTCAAAAAGGAGAGAAACCTTATACATTCAATGAAGGCAAGAAGTCTTGCAAAGAGTCAGCTCCCCTGTTGGGTATGGTGGCTCATGCCTGTAATCCCAGAATTCTGGGAGGCTGAGGCAGGGGGTCAAGTTTAAAGTTAGCCTGTGCAATTTAGTGACTTAGTGAGATACTGTCTCTATATAAGATAATAAGGGGCTGAGACTGTAGCTCAGTGGAAAGCCCTAGGTTCAATCTCTAGTACTATAGGAAAAAAATCAGCTCTTCATTGAACATCAGAGTACTCACGCTGGAAAAAAAGCTCCTGAGTATATGGAATGTGGGAAGGTGTTTTATATGAACTCTCATCTTAATATTTATCTAAGAAATTACACAGGAAAGAAGCACCATAACGTGGTGAATGTGAAAAAGAGTGTGACTTCCATAAAGTTGCCCTCACTGATCATCCAAGAACCCAGCCAGAGAAATCCTACAAATGTAATGACTGTCAGAAGCCTTGTCAGCAAGTCAACCCTGACTACATCAGAGAACTCATACAGGGGAGAAACCCTATAAATGTCATGAATGTGGGAAATCCTTCCATGTGAAGCTGGAGTTCGGTACGTAAACATTAGTGGACACATACAGGGAAGAACACATAGGAATGTAAGGAGTGTGGAAAAGCCTCTTTCTAGAGGTCATGCCTCATTGTGCTTTGCAAAACACACTGGGAGAAACTCCACAAGTTCAATAAATTAGGGATATCCTTCTGCTATAGGTCAGCCTTAATTGTACACCAAGAACTGACATGGAGAAACCATACAACTGGCAGGAATGCGACAAGTTCTTTGATGTGAAGTCATACCTCACTGTACATCAGAAACTCACTCAGAAAATCTCTGAATATGCTGAATGTGGGAAGACCAAGGCCTCATCAGCCACCACGGGATAATAGTAGGGACACCACTACAAACCTAAACTCATAGTAAGTGCTGGTGGCAAACTGCACAGAAGTTTAACAAGTTGTTAAACTCTACAGCACAAACTGTAGAGAAACATGTGTACCTCTGTGCTGCCATGTTTGGCTGTTCCTGCAGAAATCAGTGGCACAGTCCAAGTGGTAGGAGCCGAGGAACCATCTGTGTAACAGGATGGCAGCTACTGTGCCCTGATTTTGTCTCCCCAGCTCATTTGTGTCTCTTGGCAGCACAATGGCACGCAGCTCTGCTTGAACCTTGCTGAAGAACCTTGATGTGGCCCAGTTTTCCCTTCTTCACCAGTGATTGTCTGCACTTGGCACAAGACAGGCAGTGGGCACTAGGATTTTAAGGAGATGCTGGGTAACTTTGGGGAATGATTTCATCACTGATCAAGAGATGAGCAGAAATGACGGAATACCTAGCTTTAACTGCTGGCTGGATCTTGTGACTCGGGCTTGCAGGTGGAGGCTAGTGAGCAAATAGAAGACCTTGTCAATGGAGGTGCAGAGCTGAATGGATTGGCTCTAATGTGGCTCTGTATTGGGGACACTTTGAGGTCATTAATTTTCCTATTAAGCTTGTTGAAGTTGAGATTCTTCAGTTACTCAAGACTTCAGTTACTATAAGACATTCTAGATTTGAAGGTGGATATATTGCAAAAAAATAATTATTTCATTCATGTGCTGAAGTTAGCTAAGTGATAGAACATGTGCTTAGCATGCGTGAGGCCCTGAGTTCATTCCCAGCATTACCACCACCAAAAAAAAAAAAAAAAAAAAAAAAAAAAA